AACTGTAGTGCCCACACAGCCAGCGCAGCAGTGAGCCCCCTTTTCCTTCCCAATGCCCCTTCCGTGCAGCAGCCTCCCGCAAGGAGAGCGGCTGTATCAGGATGTGTTAGAGGAAAGCACCAGAAAACTACGAAAAGGTGGATAGCAACAAGAGCATCCCATGGTTCAGGAAATCTTAGATGCAGTCTTTTGTAAAAACACCCACCTAGGTTACATTAAAGAAAGTCATCTACAGGTAGAAATTCCCTATGATAAATGTGATCATTATGTATACTAAATTATACCAATAAACGTAATTATTTTTTTAAAAAAGACATGCTGCCAATTTAATTATGACATACCATAAAGTATGAATCCTAATTCCAAAATTGTTGAAATATTTTTTAAAATACAGAAAGGAAAATTCAAAATTGATGAGTGTCTGCAGCTGGGGAATTTCCAGACTTTGCTCAGGACTTAGCAAAGTCACCAAAGACCCCGTTCCTTCCCTGGCTCTGCTCTGCAATCTCAGCAGGCCCTCAGGTGTCTCCCCTCCTCACTCAAACATGGCCTGGGGAGTCCTCGTACAGCGCACATCCTCATGCAGCAACTTCCAACGGAGAGAAGAGTGCCATTTCCTATGGCCCTTTGTAGGAATGAATAGAACCGTTTTCCCAGAACTTCCTCAAAAACACATTTTCCCTTGCAGCTTATTGGCCAGAATTGCATTATATATCCATGCCCCATCCAAGCACGCCCAAGAAAATTACTATAACAAATATTCATGCCTGGGCCTGGACCGAGGCCCGGACTCCCCAGCAGGCTCCCAACGCTTGGACCAGACTTGGATTTTGTGACAGGAAAAGAGCAGAGCAATCCTCTGTAAAATAAACACTGAAATATACTTCTCTACTCACAGTTTCCAGGTGGAAACCCCTTCCATCAAAGCTAACACACTCACTTCCCTGAGGACTCCTAGTTCTGGAAGCTTCTCCAGAAGCATCTTCCTGTCCCGGAGCAGGACTCAAGTGTTCCAAGGACAAGCCTAGCGTGTCCTTGTCCATGAATTAGTAAGCCCCTTCCTGGAAGGGGGCCCCAGGAACAAGCAGAGGGGAGGAAGGAGAAGAAGGGCATCTTCAGAGTCCCACTTAATCCCATGTTAATGGGATTCTTTCCTCTCCAGACATAACAAAAGAAATGCTCAGTAATCAGCAGCAGACAGCAGTCACAGCATACGATAAGCACTGTGTGAGAGGTACAGGCGTAAACACTGAGTTAAACACAGTAGCGAGCACTGGGGCTGTAGGACAGGCTTCAGGGTGAAGTTCACTGAAATGAGGCTTTGAAGGACAGTAGCCTTTAGGTAGATTGAGTAAGGGAGAGCTTTATCTTGACACTGAATTAAGATTGGCAAGTGTAGAGCAAGTAGTTACCATATTTTTCTTCACCTGTGGAGAATATATTCAACTGTTCAGGTTACTCTTTGGGGGACCCTTCTTAACCCAACTCTTCCCAGCCATTTACAGCGGGATACTGAGGGTGAACTTTATTTTCACTCCCTACTCTGAGGTCAGTAGCTACATGAGGTCAGCCCCAATAAAACAATGAAAGTCTATTGCTTCTGAGATTATAATGTGCTGGTGTGTAACTAGATGTCAGCCAAGTAGTATCATTCTTGACCAGTAAAGCAAGAAGAATTTGAGTTAGATTTTAAAGACCAGACTGGAGAAGAGGAAGAATGAAGACTCCAAAGGTTGAGGGACAAGAGTACACAGGATGTCCATAGGACAGTGAGGAGCAAGTCTAGAGCGGGTGGCAGCTCTCACTGGAGGGAGGAGTAGGGCATGATGGGAAGTAGATTAATTACTCTGCGGAAGAGGGACAATGTAAGGGTCCTTGGATGTTAGGGTCCAAGGTAAGCTCTAGAGACATATTTGGGGGCTTGGGACAGGATAGAATCTGTACTGCAGTTCAGAGAGATTAGTCTAGCAGTAGTAGAATGAGAAAGGAGTTATTTAGGACTAAGTAAACATGATAAATTATTGATAAAGTCAAGCCCAAAGAAATAAGGGTATAACCTATGGTGATTGCAGTAGGGATTATAAACATAGAGACAGAAAAATGAAAAATGTTACTGAACATCATTAAGCCTACCTAATCAAGCTCAGAGACAGAAGGAATTAAAAAGGCAAAAAGATCAGGGACAGACAGAACCAAGCTGTGCAGTGATGGTTCATATGTTTCAGGTAGAAACCGAGTTACAGTGGAAGGGGCCTCCTGTGCCTCAGAGCAAGGGGTGGCTGTGTGGACCTCGGGTCAGCGGCCAGCTCGGGGGGTGGCCTCTGTCTGTGTTGTTCCAGAAACAAAGCACTGATGGCAGTTTCACAGGTATAGATTTGGATTCAATATAAGAAAATCTTTGCAGTGATTTGATAACTCAAAAAAGTTGAACAGACTGTTTCATAGACAAAAGTTAACTCTCTCTTATGTCAGTATTTAACCACTAATGTGACCAAAATCAGAGTTGGATGTGTGCCACTTCAGGAGTCTCCTCTGCTGAGCAGGAAAGGGAGCTATCTCTGTGCAGACATTCTTAATTCTGCTTTCTAACCTAAACCAAAGCCGTGTGTACACTCCTGAGATATAAGCAGCAAGAAGGAGTTGTTTTGTCATAACATGAAGGGCATATCTGTCAGGACTCTTTCTATGGCAAATCACAGAAGCCTATTCCATTCGGTTTGCACAACATAGAAATTTACTGCTTCATATAAGTCCAAAACTGGCTAGTCTCAAGAACTCGAATAATGTGACCATAATCCAGACCCAGTGATGACTTGGGTCTCCTTCCTCTGGCAACACTCTTAGGTAAGTTTACTCTCCACGTGATAAAATGGCTGCCAGTGGCTGTGGGCTTCTGACCTTAGGAGAACATGCTTCTTTCATTCCAACAGATCCAGCTAAGGTCTGTACCCTCTCATAGGCCATATCATGTCTGGTGCCCAACCCCAAACCAGTCACTGCAGCCAGCTGCTGGTTGACTCAAGTCTGGCTTCATGACTACCCTGGAGCTTGAAGTGAATCAGCTTCAGAGTGAGAATGGAAGAGTCTCATTTATCTGATAAGAAGAAGAGTGGATTCTGGGCAGAGAAAACAGCAGCCCCGAAGAAGAGCTTGAGTCGTCTTTGCCTTCGGTGGCACGGGGCATGCGTGCGGGTTTACCCACCTTAGCTCATCCTCAGCCCCATCTACTTTTTCCAGTTTTATCCAGAGCAACTGGTGGAGAGGATGTTTGTGGTAAGTGCGAAAAGGATACGGAAGTGAGTTATTATAGAAACTTCGCACTAGGCAGAATAGGAAGGCTAAGGACCCGAGGGCCAAGCAGCTAAGACTGGCAGTCACCAAGGTCTCCCACCTCTTCCTTAGGGTACGGTGGGGGCTTCAGCCCAGAACCTAGGTCTGCTGCCATGCAGGCCTCTGGTGGCTCATTTCCCACTGCTGCCTCTTCATTGTGTCAACAAAAACTCCTTGTGAAGTTAGAGACCTTTTCTTCACTTAAAATATTTCTTATGGAAGAGCAACATACATATTTGTAGAAATTAATTTTTTTCCTCAAAAAACAATTTTTCAAATCAAACAAGAAGAAAAATACAGTAGGACACAGTTTGTTACTTTATGTCATACAGTTTAAGGTAATAGGACTTTAAAAAGAAGTAGGCCCAGTTTGGGGAAAATCTCTCAGGGCTCCTTCCCTTGATCCGTGTGTTCTTTTCACAGTGGGTTCCAGAGCAATCAGCTCATTAAACTCATATCACCTCTTAGTTAAAGAATCTCCTGCACAGGCTTGACACACTGAAGTGGGACTTAAATAAGTAAGTTTTTAGCTCACATTGTAGCACACATCTATAGTCTCATCTGTTTTGGAGGATGAGGCCGGGAGGCCACTAATTCAAGGGCAGACAGGGCAAGTTAGCAAGACCCCATCTCAAAAAAAAAAGAAAAGAAAAAGGGAAAGGGAGGAAGGATAAGAGGAAGGAAAAAGGAAACGGAAAGAAACATAGAAAGAGAAAGCAAAGGAGGCCTTTCTGCCAGAGTCCTATTTCTGAGAGGTACTCCAGGAAGACCTGTCATCCTGCTCCCTACTTCTGGGCAGATGGCCGCCAAACTTTGTTGGAGTGATTGTCCCGTCTGTGGGAGGATGCTTTCCTTTCTGACATCCTTGCTTCTACGTCTTCGGTATAGAGTTGCACTTCCTATGGTAAAGGCCCAGGCATGACTTCTAAGCCTGGGGAGGCAGTAAATCCTAGGCCAGGACCGGAGAACTCAGCTGCTGGAAATGAAGACAACCAGAGAGGGCAGACAGATTGACTGCTGCTGCTGCACTCTCCGTGGGCCCTCTGGGTCCGGGCCAATGCCTAGAGCCTGACCCAAGGTCTGTGTGTCCCTGCGTTGCTCAGGTGGGCAAGCGAGACCCTGGCAAGAGTGGAACCGGCAGCAAGAAGGTCTGGATTACTTGGGGTCTCCTAGACCTTCTCCACTTTAGTCCCTGCAGAAAATTTGAGAGAAGCCCCCACATCATCTAAATTCTGGCACCCTGTCCATCCAACTTTCCCTGAAAGTCTCTCTCTGGGCTGGCTTTCGGATCTCACCAGGGCCTTCTTTCTAGGCACGCGGAGTGGGGAGCCATCCCCTCAGCCCTCGCGGGACTGGAGACTGTGTGCTGGGAAGCATGAGGTCATGTCTGCGAGCAGAGGATGTGAGCGGGTTTCTCCGTGGAGGGGTTGCCCACACACACAGGAGCCGCTTGGCTCTCCAGGGTCACAGCCTGGCTGCAGCTGTCTCTCCCCGTGAAATTCAGAGTCCCGGAGCCTGGCTTGGGCTGTGGCTGGAGACTGTGTGTAAGAAAAGTGTTCCAGTGGTGAACATTAAGGGGTTGGCTTGCTTTTCTGAGAACTGACTCATCTGGTAACATTTTTTAACTTCTCGGTTTTCAGTTGTACCTGACAGCCGCGGTAGCTGGGTTACCGAGGGGTGCTGTGTCTTGCAGTGTTAAGACAACTTCTCCAAAGCTTTGTACAAGAAATTGGAGTCGCTCATTGGTTCCATGTGGCAGATAACACTGAAGAATGAGAGGAGTTTCATGTAGCTGAGGTTAGCGGACCTTGATTTCTGGCTCCCGGCCCTGTACTTTGAGGAAGATCAGGAATCATCAACTCCAGACACCTCAAGCACTTTTCTCAAGAACAGGATGAAGAACCTTCCTTCCATTCATAAATAAGCAGATGTCCGGCTAAGAGAGTCACTGCTCTGAGCTCCTCTCAAAAGTGCATCCTTGAGTTAAAGGAGTGTGACTGGGTTGAACTCCAGTTTTACCCCACGGTAGCTGGGCAGTCGTAGGTACGTGCCCTCTGTGTCTCAGGTTCCTCGGCTGTGAAAAGTGAAGGTGCATTTGGCACTGCCCACTGTGGGCAAGCTCTTAGGAGACCCTGGCAGTCGCTGTGACGGTCCTGGGGCCCTGCCGAGGAAGGGGTCGTCTGCTAGGGCCATGACTGTGGGAGAACACAGGAAGAAGAGATAGAGTGGTCTGATGCCCTTTAGCCTGGATTGGAGACTAGTTTGTAGCACAGAACTTCTCAGCCAGTGGATCCTTCAGGTAATAACATCTGTCAGGAGCATAGTACAGGTGCTGCCCAGGCCGAGCCGCCAGGAAGCAGCGCTAACTCCCAAGAGTGTTGAGTGACTCCATGACTGAGACAAGTGAAGCACTGGGAATAGGGCTCAGTAGCTGACAGCTGCTGCTATTGCCAAGAGAGCATCAAGTCCTCTCTGTCAGATTCAGAGTCCTCTGAACTAAGTCCCAGCTGACGTTCTACATATTCATATCTAGTCGGCCCCCAAGCCCCTGGATTCCACATTTGCAGATTCAGTGAAACACAGATTAAGAATACTCCATACTGAATGCAGTCATACTGAACACAAACAGACTTTTTTTCCCTGTCATTATCCCCTAAGTAAGACGGTGTAACAACTACTCACATAGCATTTACATTGTTTGTGGTATTATAAGGAATCTGGAGATGATTAAGGTATATGAAAGGATGTGTATAGGTTTATGCAAATATGTATCATTTTTACAGAAGAGACTTAGTTATCCACTAATTTTGTTTCGGGGGATGGTCCTAGAACTAATGCCCCATGCGCACTAAGGCAGAACCATAATTGTATGTCCTCAAGGGAGGATGGAGGGACAGCCTTGATGCAGAAGCATAAAGTTTTTAGTTGAAATTGGTCATTAGCAGGTTACATAACACCATCTGCTGCTGAGTTACTCAAGTCGATGACCATGCCAGTGTCCAGGCCCCATGAGGGGAAGCTATTTCAAAAAGGAGTTTAAGAGGCTTTTAAAAAGCCCTCTCAGGGGCTAGGGATTTAGCTCAGTGGCATAGTGCCTGCCTGGCAAGCGTGAGGTCATGAGTTTGATTCCAGGTACGGGGGGGGGGGGGCCTTTGTTAGCTGAAATGATGCTACTTACTTTTATTTATTTATTTATTTATTTATTTATTTTTGGTTTTTTTTCTTCCGGTACCAGGAATTGAACTCACGACCTCGCACTTGCCAGGCAGGCGCTGTGCCGCTGAGCTAAATCCCCAGCCCCATATTCTTTTTTTTTTTTTTTGGTGATGCTACTTACTTTAAAAGGAGCATCTGCAGTCTGAGACAGAAGGGATGGAGTCATCACAGAGGAAGGTGTCCCAGTGAAAGCTCTTTCTTGTTGGTAACATGTCACTAGAGGTCACTAGCATTGCAAAGCCCAACTAATTAATGATAAAAATGTAATTTCAATTTTTTTTTCTCTTCAAAGGAAATAGGACTTGGAAAGCACAGGGGATTTGGGAAATAGGTCAAATGTCTGTCACGCATGCTGCTGTGGAAGGCAGAGGGCTCTAAAGAAACCATCTGTGAATTAAAATGTGGCTGCAAATTAATTTATTCATTTTTGGGGGGGAGACCATATAGAGGATAAGGCATTTTTGGACGCCACAGGTGGCCTTATATTGTGCAGCATGTTACAACCAGACTCATTTTAAACAGGATTGAGCAGGCCCGAGGAAATTTACCGCTAGCCCCACAGGTCATGCTCATTTGGAACGGGAGCCGCCATTGGCGTCCTCCTACATGCATAGAGCCTTGCTGAGAAGAGGCCTTGGGAGCAGAGCTGCTAGGGCAGCTTCAGGTCATTTTTGCCATGAGCTCTGGGATTCTGGGACCCTGAGCATGGAATATTGTCCAAGTATGCATATTTTCTTGGAGAGTTCACTGCTTCAGAAGGGTAAAGATTGTTGCCAGAGAGACCAAGTCTTCCTTACCCTGTTGGAGCATCTCTGTCCTCCTCAAACCCCAGGCCCTGTGTTCCCTGAGGCCCCGCCTTCTTGAGAGCACTCTTCCTTCTTTTATTCCAGACCTCCTTAGGATATAGAGGCTCCATCCTCATTTGCTTGACCTTAGAGAACTCAGCCCTGTAGTGGCTTCATATATATGTGCTGACACAGGTTCCTAGCATGTATCTCTGAACAAAGATAGGTAATGAGATAGCCAGTCAAGAACTTCTGATTTGATCTACTCTCTTTGTTTATTTGACTGACAAACACAGATTGAGGATTCTGCCTATGCTGGCATATTCTAGGGAGGATGAAAAAGGTTTGTTTGTGGACTTGAAATCTATAGAGAGACATCGTGGAAACCAGCAAAGGCACAAATCAGAAAAGATCAGGGTACAGTCAGTGTCTTAGTTACTTTTCTCATTGCTGAGACAAAATACCCTGCACCCAAAGGTAAAAGGAGGAAAGGTTTATTCGGCTCACAGTTTGTAGAGGTTTCAATACATAATTGGCCCGCTCCTAAGCAGGGTGGCACAGTAGACAGCCATAGCAGAGGAGAAACAGTTCATGATGGGCAGAAGGTAGCAAAGAAAGCAAGACTATAGTAGCTTCTTTCTGCCCCTTTTATACTCTATCTAGGCTACTTGGATTAGGTCAGTGCCAAACCAATCAGTGGATTGATTTAGTAATCATACACCCTTAATCCCAGCATCACACACTCTAGATCCAGCCACCTCTGAAGAAGCCCCACCTATGACCACATGAGGGTTTGGGGGGACATCTAACAGTCAGATCATAGTGATACCCATGTGGTTGGAGTGTAGGATGGATAAGGACTCAGAGGACTGGTCCTTAGGCTGTGATTGTATCACACAGCAGTTGTAGCAGTGGCAATGGGAAGGCAATGAGCTGCGTAAGCAGGAAATCAATATACAATGATAGGGGCTGGAGATTTAGCTCAGTGGCACAGCGCCTGCCTGGCAAGTGCAAGGTCGTGAGTTCGATTCCCGGTACTGGGAAAAAAAAAAAATATATATATATATATATATATATAAAATGATGGTCCATCCATCAGACATACTAGAAGGAACTGAATACAAGCTGGTTGTTGTTGCTGCCCTTTATTCAAGTTGTTACTTTGAGGAGTGTAAAGTGAGAAGAAGGACTCCAGGCTGCCAGCCATCTTGCCTGTCTGACCCCCATTTGTTAAACAAATGCCTGCTAACTGGATTGTTTTGAGCAGCCAATGAAATGATAGAAGTGGGAGAGTTTTGAAAAGCACATTATTAAAAACAGTAAGGTACACAGGCAGTGGGGCCAAAATTATTATTACTTTTAATATGGCACCATTTCTGTTGTTACCACGTCCATTCCCCATGAAATTCCACTTCAGAGAAAGGGCAGTGGGAGGAAACGCGCAACTCCCTTGGAACTGCAGAGCAGCCACCTCAGCAGGGTTGAGGAGAGCCCAGGCTGCCAGGGGGCTGGGTGGGGCAGCACAGGAAGCAGAGGGGTTTTGCCTGCGGCTCCATCTATGTCTATGAGCTGAGCAGCTGCCGCAAACCACTGTCAGCCACTGCAAAGAGCCCAGGAAGCACCTGAATGCCAGTCCCAGGGCTTCCCTGAAGGGACAGGACATTAGCCTCCCACCTCCTGTGAACGGGAGTGGTTTCCAGGTGACTCATCTGAATAAAATGCAAGAAATGAAATAGAGACTATTAGCTTATCACAAGTAAGCCAAGTGCCAGGTCTCACATTGTGTTTCACCTTATCTCAGGATCAGAGAAGGAAATCAGGGAAGGCCTGGCTGGAGTGTACAGAGCCAGAGCATTTCTGCCCTTTTCTCTCTCTGTGAGAACTGTTGAGGGTTGACTTAGGTAGGAAGTGACGTCACCATCTGAATTCAGGCTGTGCCGTTACTGGAGAGGCAGGGTGGAGTGATGGCAAGGGGCCAGCTCTGCCAGGCACACCAGCTCTGTGACCTTGGACAGATCGCTTACCCTTTGGGGGCCCGGTTCCTCTGTCTAAAGAGTGGAGGTGATAATAGTACACACTCCAAAGGCTTCCATGAAAATTACATTAATAAATCTACCCTACATGGACAGAACAGTGCCTGAAAATAATGAGGCCTTCGTGCGTGCTCCTTCTCTGATCCTGAGATAAGGGGAAACTGTGAGACCCGGCATCTGGCTTCCTTGTGATAAGCTAATATTCATGATAACATTGCTCAGCGCCGGGTAGCTCGGTTGATTAGAACATGGAACTAATAATATCACTGATGCATATTACTTGCCCTCCTTGTTTTCTTGTAACACAGCCTCCTGTGGGCCCAGTGTCTGTACTGTTGCCCTGGGAGGGAGCACAGTGCCTGGCTCAGAGGAGGCAGTGGTGACAGTTCAGTGCACCGGCTCTGGGAGACCGGCAGATGTGCCTTCCCCCTTTGCAAGCCGTGTGCTCTCAAGCGGTATTCTTTGTCTCCTTAAGTTTCTTGCCCTTTCTGTGTTCACTGGAGATGAGAAGCCCCTCCCTTGTAGAATCATTGCATAGGTTTCAAGAACCACTCTTTCTGAAGTGTTCAGCCAGCACTCAACAAGTGTTATCCTCGCAGCACTGACAGCCGGAGCCCAGTTATGGGTGGGAGACAATGCCCGGGCCCTGGGTGGACAGAGAGTGGAGGCTTTGCTCAGGGAAACCCTGAATGTCTCCCGATCTCTTGCCCACAGGACTCTATGTGCTGGTTGGAGCTGGGGCCCTGATGATGGCCGTGGGGTTCTTCGGGTGCTGTGGAGCCATGAGGGAGTCACAGTGTGTGCTCGGATCAGTAAGTAGGGCACTGCGAGTGGGGTGGGTTGGAAAAAGGGTGAAGAACTAGCTTGAAGGGGCTTGGGATACCTGGCCTGCAACACCCGCCCCTCCAGGACTCACTAGCACCCCTGGCACCCCCTCCTTTACCCCAAGTCTCAGATTTCTCCATCTCCTGCAGAAGAATAATATTATTTTAGTCCCTGCCTCATGTGGAAAGTGTGAAAAAAATGAGGTCATTACTGAAAAGATGTTTGGAAAAGAAAAGTGCCTAGCACTTGTCAGAGGTGATTATGATTGTTCTTTCAAAAATAATATTTCACTGTGGGCGAGGTAGTTAAATGATTCCTACGGCCAGAGAAGAGCTGTTATCTACAAGAAAAGCGTTTCAGGTTAAGGTCAGTAACTTCACCAAACATCCCTCTGGTGGCTTATTTTAACCTCCGAAGCCTCTGTTTAAACAAACAAATGAAAAAAACAAATAATGTCAATTAACTGCTATCCAGCCAATGTCAGTGTAGCCTAGGAGAAACGAGTAGAAAGAACGGGGTTGGGAAGAAACAATATTTTCTGTTTCTCCTTGAGGGCTGTGTAACAGCATTTTCATCAGACAGCCTCGCGTTTCTCACTGTTCATGGCCGTCTTTGGGCTTTTTGACCGTGCTGCTTCTGATCACTTGCTATGTGAGACATATAATTTGTTTCTTGATTCATTGTTTCTCCTCTTGCTAAGCATCTCACTGTCTTGTTTATCTCTGAACTTAGTTTGATCAGAGCAAACCCAAGACCTGAAAGAATGTCCCAAAAGAGCCCACACACGTACACCTATACTCCCTCTCTTCAGAGGAGCCTTTTGGACCATGAGGTTCATGTTAACCTCTTCCCCAAGCCCAGGCCCAATTGGGGACTTCATCTTCTGACCTTATATTATCTCATTATATATCCTTTTTGCTCATCAAGTTTTTACTGATAAGTGGGAAGCACTGTCCTCAGTAGTGGGACTTCTATATCATTACCTGAAATTCTCTTACTCACTTTTTAATCCTTTACTGTTTGTTATATCTTCCCCTGACCAATGGGAGGTCCATTGTGATCCTCTTGACTATTGCCAAGGTCAGTACTGGTACAGAATAGACACTCAACAAACAATTGCTGAATGAATGAACTACATGAAACTGACTCAGCTTTGCATAAAAGGAACTAAGGAGGCAGACACTTCCTGTTAGGTCTGTCAGTTCAAACTTGCCTCGTGCTTTTCCAATGGGACTAGAATCAAAAAAGGTAAATGCACTGAGAAGGTATTAAATTAATGAAATTAGTATTTTTCTCTCCTCTTCAGTTTTTTACCTGCCTACTGGTGATATTTGCTGCTGAAGTAACCACTGGAGTATTTGCTTTTATAGGCAAGAGTGTAGTAAGTAAAAATTGCCTACTTTTTAAGATGATGATTAAAGTGTTCTCTTTATGACAAAAGATATGAGGGTATTGACCGATCATGTTACTAAGAAGTTAAATAGCCTTTCCAAATTATAGTATAAGCAGACTTTTTAGCCTAGAGGTAGTGTACAGAGTGGAGAGCATGTGTGTACACATGTGCATAAATACATATGTCTTCTTAGGAAACAAGTTCACAGCATTCATAGACTTATACAGTGGTCTGTGACTTTTAAAAGAATCTCTAATTTAAGATTATCTCTAGTTCAAAATGAGGCAGGGGGGCTGGGGATTTGACTCAGCGGCAAAAGTGCCTGCCCGGCAAGCACAAGGTCGTGAGTTCGATTCCTGGTACCTGAAGAAAACAAAACAAAAAAACAACAACAAAATGAGGCAGGAATACAGACATAAGAAAGAGGGATGAGGATTTCTTGTCAGACTGTCATTTGTCCATAAGGCCTGGCCTCAGAGATGAAACCATGGCCTGCTGTGTGCTAATGAAGACAGTTTACATTGCTGTCCAACTCTAGGTATCCAAAATAGGTTATCAGGAGAACCCACAGAGGAAGTTGCCTTTAGGAGTATATTCACACAGAGGAATGTAAAGGAAAAGGAAAAAGAATGGAACCTTAAGTGTTTATATTTCCAATTAGTTTGTGTGTCGTCAGTGTTATGTGTATGAACTTATTAAAATAGTATATGTAAAATAAGTAAATGCTGCTTCCTCTGAAATTTTTCTCAGATGGCTGGTTATATTCTTAGGTGAGTTTAAATTTAGCTCTATGTAGAAGCGAAACTAGATCTTAGGACTTCCTGAAATTTCTGTGGATTAGGGTTCATACGCCTTTATAATACAAGAGAAAGCATCCCCTAAGCTTCCTATGGTATTTGAATTCAGAAATCATCTTTGGTAATGAACAACTTTTGAACCATGCCATGAAGAGACTTGAGTACTTTTAACCACTGGAGTAGCCTGGCTCTGTGGGTCCCAACCTTAGCTATGCATCAGAATCTCCTGGCTGGAACCCAGGATCTGGGGTCCAGTTGATGCTGAAACTTTATCAGATTTGGAAAGCTAAGCAGCCTTTCTAGTCCATGAAAAGTATTCTTGGCCAGTCTATCCTTCCATCATCAAAAGCATGTTAGAAACTCTAGAATCTACATTCTGCTCCATATATTCAGAATCATCTTAAAATACAGATGAACACGTGGAAAGGCATGTGAAGGGTATGGAAGAAAGGACTTTCCTTCCTTTGAAAGAGAACATTTGAAACTTCCCACTCCCTGTGCTGTCACGTTCCCTGGTGTGTTTTCAGGCAATACGACACGTACAGACCATGTACGAAGAGGCCTACAGTGATTACCTTAAAGACCGGGAGAAGGGAAACGGGACTCTCATTACCTTCCACTCAGCAGTGAGTAACTTTACTTCTTCCTTGACGTCCCATCTTCTAAAGGTCATGTGTGAAGCAGGTTCTCTCTGATCAGCTGGATTAAAAATAAAAATAAGTTCAGTAAAGGCGAGCAGCAGCCTCCTATTTTAGCCATTAGGAGAGCCACAGCTTTTGTTTAATACAAAACTGTAGACAAGAAAGAGGTGTACCGCAGAGTTCAGAAGAGGAAGTCAGGGTGTGTGCCACGAGGGACAAAAGAGCATGAACAAGAACACAAAGGAAGCATCCCAAGTAGGTGTCAGATTCCTTCAAAGGGTGCCCTTGTGGGTATGACAGCAGCAAGCAAGGCCTTCAAGCCAGAAAATCTACTTTCTAGTTTACCAAAGAGATGGGCCAGGCCAGAGTTGCTCTGATTTCTTAAACACTATGATCTGGAGAAGAAGCTGCAAGCTCCTGGGCTAAGTATTCTCAGACAGCAGGTTTTTCTCTGTGATAAAAATATCTTGGAAGATGTCCCAGAAGCAAAATGCAGCACACAGATTCCTTTGTCTGAAGGGGCCAGCCCTGGGGCAGGACACCTGTTTGATAGCCAGTCCCCCAGCGTGGCCTTTCAGCCCCTGGGATTGACTGTGGCCATTTTTCTCCTGCCCAGACAGTACCCTGGTTAATAAGACCTTTCCCAAGGTTGTAAAACTTTAGCTCCTCAGTTATATGGCCTCTCAGTCTGAAGGAAGGACTGTGAAGGCCCCAACTCCTGTCTGAAAAGCAATTTGAACAGACACTGTCAATTAGTTTCTTGCCTTGTTTGGGTTGACTTGAGTCACTTCCTGTCATAAAACTCAGACAGCTTTAGGAAAGTTTCTTGGTTTGTTAGCATGAGTATGTGATTCTTTACTCTCTTTCCAGAAATAGCAGTTTGGGTTGCTTAAACCAGGACTTGTATCTTCTTTGCTGTCCTGGCACTGCCAGACCTTAGCAGCAGTGCCCAGACTTGTAGCTGTTGCTTCCCTCTCCTGTGTTCTAAAGTCTCCTTTCTGACTTTCTAGTTTCAGTGCTGTGGAAAAGGAAGTTCTGAACAGGTCCAACCCACGTGCCCAAAGGATCTTCTAGTCCATAAGGTAAGCTTCTACCAGGGCTCCCACCTACCCCTGTAGTATGAGGTTGTTTTCGCCTTTGGGTAAAGGCAGAGAGGCTCAGCTCCTACCTTTGATGGGTTCTAGGAGACCCTCTCTGTGTGGATTCTAAGCCCCACTTTATTCCATGTTAAATAAGCAAAGCAATGCTGAGCTGACCTCCTGGCATCCTGGGGAATAATGGTAGGCTAACTTGCTAGTGGGATGTCGCTCGCTTATGGATTTAAACTCTCTAGGCCCAGAGGTGTGTCCTCCAAGATCATAGCCCCGCACTTCTCTGAGGGAGTCAAAACAGTGATAAATGCTTCACTTACTAAGTGTTGTGTCAGGTGGGCATTATGCCACTCCAAGACAAAAAAGACACGGCCCCTGCCCTCAGCAGCCTTGCAGACTAATTAAGGGCTACAGAGCTATGTGAGGCATCTGTACAGGGTACCAGAGGCACACAGAGGAGTTAGGAAACTTCATATAGGAGGAGATCCTTGAGCTGAATTTTGACAAAGGAAGGTCACTCCAGGCCCAGAAAGTGGCAGGAACAGAGGCATGGCATTAAGAAACAGGAGAACAGGGAATGCACAGGGAGTAGAGAACAACATTTTGGGAGAAGCTGGCAAACTTAAAGGTCTGAGGAAACCATTGCTTTCAGCAGAAAATGAAACCTAATCAGTTTTGCGTTGTGGAAAGAAACTTAAGGTGCGGTATGTTAAGGGTCAAACGGAAGGGTGGAGACTAATGGAGGGAGACCACCTTTGGTGGCACCTGGCAAGAAAGGATGAGAGGCCAAAGCAAGTAACAAACAGTGGGGAAGGAGAGGGAGTGAGGCAGTCGGGAGATGTTCAGGAGACCCCATCCACAGGACAGGTTAAGCTCTTGGGTGTAAGTGGTGAGTGCAAGATAGGACACCAAAGTTTCCATATTTCTGCTCGGTGGTTGGATGTGTACTAACAAGGGAATATAATGAAAGGGACCATCCTAGGGGCAAATTACAATTTTATTTGCAATCAAGTTTGTACTTGAGGTACCTGTAGGACTTACTGGTAGTCTGAAGGATGGCACGGGTGTAGGAAGCTCAGCATATTGGCAGTAGATGAAGCCATAGGGATGACTGAGAAGAGCCTGGGAGTGTGTACAAACCAGAGAAAGAGGTAAGGACGCTGTTGTTCAAGCAGTAAACTGAAGACAAGAACCCAGAACAAGAGCCAGGGAAGAGACAGAGGGTAAGAGGGAATCCAGACAGTGGTATCTGGGAAGCCAGAGGAGGACATGGTTTGCCCATAAAGTCAAAGGCTGGGAAGAAGACAAGTAAATGAAGGCCCAAAAGAGTTTGTTGGATTTGTTACTTAGAAGATCATCACACAGTGTCAGTGAGGTAGTTGAGGAAGCACAGGGAAAGGTGACAGTATGGAGATAATGATATCAATCCTTTTCAACATTTGGCCGTGAAGGGTGATAATATAATGCTCCAGTTTGTGTCATGAATCAGCACTGAACACTTACTAGGTCCTCCCGAGCTGGATGAAATGAGTAAGACACAGCGGTGCTCAAAGTGCTCCTGCCTGGCTGTGGAGACTTGCGGAGCAGTTAAGGCTACATTGCAGATGGCACAAGAGACTCACCTGGAGCCGTGGAGGCTTCCCTGACATGAGAAAATTGAAAGATAAATAGGAGTGCAGTAAGCAAATGGAAGAAAGGAAGAAATTTGGGGCAGAAGGGGTAAGGCAAAGGCATGGGGACAGAGAAGGTACTTGTTCATATTCAGGTAAGTACCAGCATGTAGAAGAGTCTGAAAACCTAGGTGCTTGGAAGAAATAAGCTCTTCAAAGAGGAGCAAGCCATTCTTGAAGATCCTTATGAAGACAAAAGTCCAGCCAACAGCTGCGAGCTTAGGAAAGCACAGAGCGGAGAACCTGGAGTGGGATTTGCACTTTATCAAGTTGGCGGTGATGGCAGTGGGGAGGATTGATGGAAAGTGAACAGCATGGACCTGAGCAGAACAGTTGGGAAGACTTCTCTGCCAGCCATGAAGGCTAACTGAGGCAAGATGGACTGAGCAACAGAAATGGAGGACAGGTAAAGCGTACTGGCTGGATAACCAGTTAGATACCAGAAGAGGGGGCTCTTCCGCTGGATTTCTGACTCTTCTACCTGTAGCTGATGGCATCATTTGCTGACTTGAAGAGTAGAGAAGGAGCCAGTTACAGAGAAAAGAAAATGAGTTCAGTGTTTACCATGATGATTTTTTTCTTTCCCCACCCCTCCTATGATGATTTTTAAGAAGACAGAAAACCTTCCAAGAGGAAATATCCAAAAAAAAAATTGAAATGTCCAGCTTGTGGTCTTGGAAAGAGATTGAAGTGTGGGTGGCTTATAGAATCTTAGTTATAGATATGGATTGGATCCATGAGACCTAGAAGGAAGAAGTACAAGCTAGAACGCAGGGGAACAACAACATTACAGGCTGCTCAGAAGGGGGAGCAGGAGAATAAGGAGACAGGGATGAGTAGCGAGGCACCAACGGAAAGACATCATTGGAGGAGGCGGCGATAACCACCAAGGCCAGGTGCTGCCATGGAAGTCAGGTCAGTAGTACTGACTTGTGTCCGGCACTGTGCGCACAAAGATGAATAAGAAGAGGTCCCTAGTGACAAGGAACTGGCAGTGTAGTAGGAGAACTGAACACAGAATGGCCGCAGTGCAGCAGGAAAGTTGGCACAAGATGGTGTTTTGTTCAACGGTGGTGGTGTGAAAGACAGAGGGACTGGCACTTAGAATAAGCTGGAAGTTGGGAGACCAGGTGGATGCCGACCGGAAGTAATGTCTCCCCTAAACCTGGGCAACGAAAGGGAGGGAGTTGGCCTGCCTGCAGAGGGGACGGCACAAACAATGGCATAGAGGCTGAAAACATGATCATTTCTTGCGGAACTAAAAGCCTAACAAGGCCACTGAAGTAACTACTGACAAGCTGACAGTACTTAGCATTTAAGGAAGTAAACGGGAACTTAATGTGAGGACAGGGCCCATCCTGCAGGAAGTGAGATATGAAAAGAGAAAGCACGCTTTCAAGTATTTGGCTCTGGGTCAAGGATATAAAAAGAGTTTTCATAAAACACGAAATACAAATTACCATTAAGCACATTAAAGGCAGAAGCACTTAAAAATAATCTTAAAAATTAACATAAAATTTAAATGAAGAGATTCCATTGTTTAACCTATGAAATTGGCCAGATTTTTCTCCCTCAATAATATCACACTGATTGGCAAGAATGACGTAAAGTAAATTTTTTCAGAAAAAAACTTGGTACAGTAGTCTCAGAGGTTAATAAGATTATCCAAGGCTATAGTATGCACTGTGTCCATAGCTACAGCTCTCATAGTTTATTCTAAGGAAGAGGAATCAGAAATGTGGAAAGTCTTGTGAACTGGTTTTCCCACTGCAGTGTTATTGCTAAGAATAAAGTATTGGGTAGTTCCCTTGTATGCGACAACAGAGGAGTATTTAAGTAAATTATGGTACTTTCAGTTGATGAAATGTTTTAAGAATCATGATGAAACACCATTAAGAATCATGGTTTCAAGGAATTTTTTAGTGGAACAAGGTATTTTTGAAGTTGCAAGCTTAAGTTTTAAAAGCATGCAGTAGGGGCCAGGGATGTAGCTCAGCAGTGCAGTACTTGCCTGGCAAGTGCGAGGTCCTGAGTTTGATTTCCGTCACTCCAAAAAATAAAAATAAAAATCATGCAGTTGAATATACTAAGTGGAGCATGGTGTTTCTATGTGTAAGAATCACTGACAGTGTTAATCATTGGTGGGAGGACAGCTGTTTCTTACTTTCTTTCTTTAAACGTCTATTTTCCAAGTTTCTTCAATAACCATATATTCTTTTATGGCTAAGTTAAGTGAACACATGTTTCATTAGCTTGTTTTTCACAAAAAAGAGGCAGCTATGAAGGAAAAGAGGCAGCTGTGAAGGAAAAGAGGTACTCCGGCTGAGCTGGAGGAGGACAGCATTATGAGTACTACTGTGTGTTTTAGGTTGAATTTGGGCCTGGGGTTATGAGGGGAAATGACAGTGGAGGAGAGGCTGAACGCATTGGAAGGAAAGGAGATGGCGGGTAGCGGGGCTTACTAAAGAGAAGAGAGGGACTGAGACCCACAGAGGAGGTTAATCTGCAGCAGGAAAGGTACCTCTTGGGCCCTGAGAAGAGGAGGAAAAGCCAGAGAGGGACTGCCTTGTCCCCTTTGTTTGCTCACTACCTGCAGCAGCGCCCCCCCCCCACTGAAGAAAGGAAGCGTTTGAGAACACAGGGAAAGGAGACAAAAGTTAGAAGTGCTATATACAGGTTGACTGTCATTTTCTCCCGTCTGTAAGGGCCCCCGGTGTCTACAGCGGTGTCTCTGAAACTTTTTGTATCATAATGTTTTTTGTGAGTATGAATCCTTCTTTAAACTGAGCCTCCTGACAACAGAAGAAAACATGTCTTTTGTCTTCCACATCCACCAGCACATTCCAGTGCTGACACAAGGTAGATGTGTAAGAAATGCTTGTTGTCTCGTGGAAGCATGAAAGCAGATACGAGACGCATTCTCAAGATTTCATGTAGCTTCTGAGGGTACCAGAGGGAGCTGACTAGGGACAAATCAAAGGATCTAGCAGGCTGAGGTTGTAGATGGATTGCAAGCACGCCTCTCCTTAAGGGAACTACAAATAGAAGATTTTGAAGGTACCACTGTGACAAAATACCGCACGATCAATTTAAAAGGGAGAAAGGCTTATTCGGGCTCACTTTCCAACATGTCGGTCCAGGGTCACTTGGCCTGTTGCGCTGGCACTGTGGAAGCACAGTACGTCACAGTAGGGCCACAGGAGAGAGGCTGGCTGTCTGTTTCATGTCAGTTGGGAAGCACACAGAGAAAGAGAAGGAGAAAAAAGAAAGTGGCCAGGGCCCCAGTACCCTCTTCAGGACACACCCCAGGGACCTGACTTCCTTCTACTAAACCCCACTTTTCATAGGTTGGGGACCAAGCCTTCACATGGGTTTTTGGGGAACACTTCCAAACCATAGCACTGGTGAGTCATGCAAGGATTACTGGTGACCTATTCTGCTTCCTGTCCAATTTTCCCCTATCTGTGCAGATCCTTTGAACACTGCTTCATGGGTCCCCTAGGGACATAAGGACAGGGGTCCACAGCACAACACAGCCACCACAAGAGAGAATGGTTCTCTGACTCCCAAAACCTGGCTTTACTAAGCCATGGTTTTCCTTTGTTTAAGTTAAACCTGTACAAGGCCTTTATACTTCCTTAGCAGGTAACACCTACTTTGCATAACAAATTTGATTAAGTACATAGAAAGTCTTTTAAATACTAAATAGCAACATAAAAACAAATGTTGTTATTCTAGGGCTATTCTTCTTATTTTCCTTTGCTGAAAGTACATAGAAGTTGAGCCAGGGATATAGCTCAGTGGCACAGTGCCTGCCTGGCAAACGCAAGGTCCTGAGTTCAATTCCTGGGACCAAAAAAAAAAAAAAAAACAACAGTATGAAGAAGTCCCAAATTTTAAAATGTCTCAGATCCTAAAGAATAGCTTCCTCAGCTAGATTTCAGGGCTCTTAGTAGTAACTGGCCTAAATAGAAAACTCCCACCAAAAGGAGAGGATTATATTTTTCCCCAAACTACATTTTTGCTTTAAGGTTGTCAGGATGATGTCACCCAAGGGTGAATACAAGCAGAGGCTGACATGAATTAACTCTCACAGGATTATCTGTACCAAAGAAAGAATTGACCAGGGGAGAGGAGTGATTTACATATACATTCAGTTTTTATTCTTTTTTTTTCCAAAACAGAATTGCATTGATGAAATTGAAACCATAATCAGTGTTAAGCTTCAGCTTATTGGAATTGTTGGAATTGGAGTTGCAGGTCTCACGGTGAGAAAATTCCAGAACTTACCTTTTTTTGCCCTCTGAAAAGCCTTGAACCTTTGCACCTGATTTCTCTCCAAGTGAGATAGTATTTCAAGAGATGATTTTCATAAAGGATAAGGGCATTTGTTCACAGTACATCTTCTAAGAACAAAACTAATTAAGTACATCATCCTTAGTCCTCTAAAATATGGCTGTATAGTTCAGTCCTGACATAATTGTGAATTTGAGTTTATCACTGTAATAACTTCCCATTTTAAGGCCACCAATCTTAATCTAGGAATGTGATTTTCAATTCAAAATAACATTTTGGCTAATCTATGATTTGAAAAGGCAGCAAACCATAGTGGTTAATTAAGCTCTGGCATCACGTGATCTAGATTAATTTTCTGGCCCTACTACTTACAAGACCTCAAATTTCAGGAATGCATCTCAATTTCTCTGCACCTCAATTTCCTCATCTGCAAAATGGGGCTTTTTTTGTAGCACTTGGGATTGAACCCAGGTCTCTTGCACTGAACTGCATCTCCCTTTTTCTTAAGTTTTATTTTAAGACAGGGTCTTGATAGTCACTAAGTTGCCCAGGCTGGACTGAAATTTGCAGTCCTCCTGCTTCAGTCTCCAAGAGTATTGGGATTTCAGGGATCCATCACCACACTTGGGTGAGGGTTTTAGGATACTAAATTAAGACTGTTGTGAAAATTAAATGGGATACGGCACATACATTATTATTACACATTAATTAATTAGAAATGTCTGGAACATGTGGCATCCAATAGGTACCAGCTTACTACACAGTTTGATTGTTCCTGAACCCAAATCCAGGTGATGGGAATGGCATGCAGGAAGGCATGAAACGCCGTGCACCAGGCGCCTGTAGGTGGCTCACCTCTTCTACAGTACAAGAGGAGAGCGTATGGGGAGAATAGATGACCACAGGCAGATGTGGTACGAGCGGCAAGGAGTGGCACTGAAGCGGATTTCAGGTCCATATAAGTGAGTGTTCAGTGTGCCCTTCTGAGAGGCTGGACTTCGTCCTCAGAGAGAAGAGCATTGAAGGGATAGAAGAACCTGTGGTGCAGGATCAAAGAAAGGTTGAGGCGAGAGCCAAAGGATGTAGCAGTCTGAGGGTGTAGATGGATTGCAAGCACCCCTCTCCGTAAGAGAACTACAAACAAGCTTTTAAAGCTACCGCTGTGAGAAAATACCGGCATGATCGATTTAAAAGGAAGAAGGGTTTTTTCTGGCTCAGTTTCCCACAGCTCGGTCCAGGGTCACTTGGCCTGTTACCAGACGATGGAGGAGAGGCTGGCGAAGAGGTGATCTCCCTTGTCCAGAGCCTGGCTGATGACAGCCAGTGCTGAGGTAGCACTTGCTCTCCAGTGCACTGTATAAGCTAACTGACGGCGTACACTGAGACAGGGCTGTGAGAATGGGGGGGGGGGGGAATCCATAAAGCTGTCCTTTGTAGGAGCCCCAGAACTTTCCCCTTTTCTGACTTTAGAGCACAAAAGGGTTAGGCAGTGGCTGAGGTCCTCTGAGTCCGAGGACATCTCTCAGACCATTTCCACTGGCTCTGGAGTTAGCCTAGTTGCAATTCTGCAGCTTCCCCTGGACAGTCCTGAAGCAGGAAATTTGAAAACTCTATAACAGAAGCATTAAATAGACCCTTAATAATTAAATAATTCTCCGGTTTCCACTAATGAGTAGCCTAGAACCACCCCTGACTCATGGTGGCTCAGCTGAGACTAAAGAACTTTCTTTCTGAGAGATCCCTTCAGAGTACAACCAGGATGAGGTAGGGCCTGCAGGCTGCCTTGCAACCTTGGCGTGTTAGCTTTCTGTCACTGTGACAGAATACTTGAGATAATGTAAAAGGAGGAAAGGTTCATTTTGCTCAGTGTTTCAGAGATTCCAGTCTGTGACCACTTCGCCTGGTTGTTTTGAGCCAGAGGCAAGACTGAACATCATAACAGGAAGCGCACCGTGGTGGACAGTACATAGTAGGGTAAAAGTGCTCACCTCATGGTGGCCAGGAAGTGAAAGACAAGAGGGGCTAGGGTCCCAGCATTCCCTTGAGGGCCCACCCCAGTGACTTCATTTCCTTCTTCTAAATGTTCCACCACTGCCCCAAAGCACCATCAGCTTGGGACCATCCTTCAAGACACGAGCCTCTGAGGGACATTTAAGGTCCAAACTGTAGCACATGGTAAAGGGGAAATGCGCAGGTTGGCTCCTGGATCAGCACCTTCAGAGTTTCTTCTGTGGTTCTTTTGAGTAAGACACAGGTTGCGCATTGTCATTATTTAACCAAATGTCCATTAGGTGTCTCCCCTGCCACACTGGCACTGGGTTTTGTCACTCAGAAGCGCAAAGTCTTGTTCCAGGCTATCCGTTACTTTCGTCTGCTCTTGCCCTTCCAGAACAACTGAACATTTATGCCTTGTTGTGGTTAGCCTTTATAGATCCTTGTCTGACTCAGGGTGGGACTGAGGAGAAAATCAAAGAGTTATGGTGTGAATTTTTAAAAACAAATAATGATAGTTGTTTATAAACAGCACGGACAAACAGGGTTCCACAGACTCTGCAAACTCCCTGGGGTAATGACTGAAATGAAGAAAGAGCTTTTGTTACACTTCCATTCAAACTATGGAAATGGAGGTTGATTTCACCCAAGTATTTGGCCACTCAAAGAACTACCCAAAAGGTAGAAGTCAGGAATGCCATCATTCAAATGCTTCAGTTTATGTGTTGGTGAAACTACGGAGTAAACCAGTGAAGTATCATTTGCACTTACAAATGGACCAGAAATTAAGAGATGCCCCACTTTTTAATATGTGATTATTGTGGTAAGCATTCAAAGTTTTTCTGACAATGGAAAATTTTTTAGACTATAAGCATATTTAAACAACAAGAAGTTATTAACACATTTTTCAGAATGAATATATAAGAGGTCTTAGATTAACTTAAAAATATTAAATTCAAAACCCAGTCATATATCACTATTTCACAACAATTTAGAACTGTTCTATAAGCCAAAAATAGGGCCCTTTTCTTAAAATAGAACCTTGTTAGTTGTTAACAATAATAACATGGCGAAGCATTTTAAGCAGAGTTAATAATGAAGTTTTTACCCGGTGTCATCCTTAATGAACATATAAAAATGCCATTTACAAACAATAATTATTGCTTATAACCATTTATTGCGTTAGAGACCTGGCAGTTTGCTAACCTTTTTATCAAATAATACATGTTTGACAGTCACTAATGAGTGGTTCCTTCTATTGCAGATCTTTGGCATGATATTCAGTATGGTCCTTTGCTGTGCAATAAGAAACTCACGAGATGTGATTTGAAACTACTTCACCATGAAAACCACAGTCTAAAGCTTTCATACTAAATGTCCCAAGAGCTGTCTCTCAGCTCATTTTTAATATTCAGAGGACATTAGGATCTGAAATAATTTGATGTCAGTTGTACATTTGCACATGGATGTATGTCTGGGTCATTATTGGTTTGCCCCGAGTGAATGCTTGTGTGTGTTGGCCGAGAATGTATTCACGTGGAATCTGTATGTTTCTGGTAATGCATTACACCTAATGAAATCTGCTTGCTGGAATTCCTAGTTCTTCTTAGGTAAGAGGAACAGTCTACTAGAAAAAGATCAAAAAGCTTTGGGGACACTTTAAAAACCTGGCTATTCATAAGATGTAATAACAGACCAGCTTGTCAGACTTCAGCCATGAAAATTAAATATAGAAAATTCAAGGATTTCTGGTTAATGGAAGCAATAAGCTACAGTAATTAAGAAGTCCCAATGTAGTGTTAAAAATGACTGTATCTGAGTGTAAGGATTTCCTGGGATTTTTAAAAAAAAATTTTTTTTTGGTATCAGGAATCGAACTCAGTACCTCATGCTTGCCAGACAGGTGCTGTGCCACTGAGCTCTATCTCTGGCCCTTGGGATTTTTTTTTATATACATATTCTCCCAAGAATACAGTAAACCATAGTTTTAAACTAAACACACCTATAAAATGAAATACAGCATGGAAAATCTAATTTGAATAAGTCGGCTTTCCTTATATTTAAAAATGAAAAAACTCTCCCTCTGGAAAGAAGTTACACAGACAATCATGTGTTCTATAAAAGTGAGTGATTTTTAGGACTAAAAAAGTTTGTAAGCACTTTTTAAGGAAACATTTTTGTTCTTATACACAGACATTAAGTACTGCTTTATTGCTTTCCCTTTCTGACTCTTCTCACATCCTCAAAAGGGCTTTTATCTCACACTCTGCTGTGTTTCTCCAGATGTAAGGGAAGAAACAAACAGAAAAACTAAAGCGATTTGGCCATTGACAATTGTGGAAAAGAGTATTTTTACTGACATTGTATTTTTGAAATACCTCACAACCTGAGTTTACAATATTTTCATAATTTTTTGTAGTTTTCTTATTTATTCATCCAGAGAATTCTTCATATATTTAGAACTACAGTTTCACCACTTACAATAAATAAAAGTCCTGCATAATTCAGATATCATTTCATGAGCATCCTTGGATAAACTACAATAAACAGAGAAACATCTTCTCCTAGTTATTTATAGCACACACAACAGAGACAAGTTAAGGAAACAAATACATACTTCTACACACACATAGACAACACAAGCACGTATTTCTGTGCAAGTCCCCTATGAAAGTAAAATATTCTAGTCTTTTTTGGTCTTATTTTTTTATTATAAGTAGGTAACACAAACTTAGGACCTAAATTGGCACATTTTTCAATAATGTTTAACAACTTGTTACACTTAGTAAATAAGATCACACGAAAGTGGAGCTATGAGAGACTTTGGAAAATTCCAAGTGACAAGGCTTCTACAGAAGAAAGAACACAACGCGTTGGGTATACAGCAAGAGAAAGTGCCATGTTCCCAAGAAAGTTACAAAACATTTTGCTGAAAAGACATAACTGGTGGAAACAGTCTTATCCCCACATCACAATGCATCTCTCTTTTGACCATACTCACCACTACTACTAACTTTAGAGGGAACTTTTCTAGGGGAAAAAAAAAGATTGGAAGCAATCTACAAACTTCATTATGCATGGCTGCATCTATATGTAAAGAACTTTTTAAGAAAATCACTGATATCCCACAAATGTAACCTTTTAAGCGAAGACCAACCCATCCTCTTAGTAGCTTTAGTTCATCTTTCTTCTTGAAGATAAGAAAAAGGCTCAAATGTATACTCAGGTTCTTCTAGCTCAGAATAATCCTTGGTTCCACAAAACTGAGTTGCATTCCTTACCCAAGTTCAAGGCCTTAAAGATTACAGTAGTTAAAAGTGGAAGAATAGGAAAAAAATAATTTTTTAATGTTTTTTAATTTTTTAAAAAACTAAGAAACTAGAGATCTGTTTAATATATGAGTAGCACGTCTCTTTAGGGCAAAATTTTCCAAAATATGTCCCATAACCAAAATTAGAGAATTCTACCACTAAATGAAGGCAAATGTTATACCTACATTCACCACATAGGTAGTTTTGTATAAATATGCAGATATATATTTATATAATATATTTACGTATATATCTGTGTATGAATATAATATATAGCACCATATGTATGTATATAAAATCCCTGTATGTGTTAAATTCATTTACATCTTGACTATGTATCTCTTGAGTATAAATACATATATAGTTTGAATACATGTTCATATAGAGTTATTTCTGTCAACTTATACTAATTTGAGATCAAACTCAGTCATTTTCTTAAACTGTAGGTGCCAAGGCATGGATTAAAATATCTTCATGATGGGGTATTTTAAATTATTTCAAATTAAATGTTCTATATGCTGGACTTGCTTGTTTGAGTTATCTTAAATTCCTAGTATAGGGCCGGGGATGTAGTTCAGTGGCACAGCACCTGCCTGGAAAGTGCAAGGCCCTGACTTCAATTCCTGGTACAAAAAAAAAAGTATACTTTATACTAGTATACCTGGTACAAAAAAAAGTATACTTTATCCTAGTATACTTTTCTGTAGACCTTCACACTACTTATTTATATGTCCAACTACCTGTGAATCCAAACAATGTTATAAAATATGAAACAGATTATTAACCCTTCTATAAAATTGTTAGGAACTGGATTTAAAAGCAATACCCTAAGGACTTTCATTGCATGTAGTTGTGTTTCAATCACTATTGTTTCACCCCAGTTGTACCTCTTTTCTCCAGAATAGCTCTTTTGTCATCCACAGCTTAGTCTGTAAAATTGTACCTTGGTCCAGGGTCTGGCGTGCTGTGTCCTGCACCCAATCAGTAGCAGTAGTTGCTCTCCTTTTCCTGCAGGTGGTGCACAAAAGTTTGGGTGAGAGGGAGGCTGGTGGGAAGATGGTAATGAGGGAAGAGCATTTTTCCCTTCTGAAAGAAGTTTATCAAAGACTAAAAAAAAGCCACCCTTTGTCATAGGTGAAAGAGAACGTCCATGACCCTAAGGGCAACCGCTGGAGTTTCAGCGGGTGTACTACACCCCAACTTTACTGGTTAATAGCTCCCTTGATATCCTCGCTGACCCCAGCTCCTCGACTGCCACAACACCATTTTCCATACTCTTAAGAAGGACTACTCATGGGCCCTTGAAGCTAGTAGATTAGCAGCATTGCCTCAGTTTGGTTTCATCAAAATCAAATACGTGTTAATGCGTATTTCTAAGAGGGACAAGTTTTCTACTTTCTTTCAACATGAGCCTTCATTTTTTACTAGAAAATAAACATGGAAGGGATTATATAGTTGTAATTTTAAATGTGAAAAGATCACATAAGAACAGAACATTATTAATTTTTGGTGTTATTACAACAGCAAAGGCTAAGTGCATACAGGACCCACTATTCAAAGGGCTAACTCCTGGGAACAGGGAAAGCGTGGTGAACCAGAGGGGCATATACTGCAAAGTATAACCTGATTGTATAGTGCTTAGCTGATGTGCCAGAAACTCTTCCAAAGTGTTGGTATTAAAATGAGTTTTTTTCCTATGTAATTTATAAGTTTCTACTTACATTAAGTAGCAGAAATCTACTAAATAAATTGAAAAGAAATACAGTGGTACCTTGGTTCACAAACTTAATTTGTTCCATGATCCTGGAAAAGATGGCACACTCGTGTTCATGTGTGAAAGATGGTTGCAGTCATGTTTGTCACATGATGCAGAGTTTGCAAACCAAAACAAAATTTCACCAAATGCTTCTGTTTGCAAACCGAATTGTTCACAAACAAAAGCATTCATGAACCAAGGTACCCTTATAATCAACAGAAAGTGCATGCTACACCTGGCAACTAGTGATATTAGCTACTAGTATAATTATTGTGCTGATAAGAAAGGAGAATTTTGTCAAGTATAAATCAGTTTTCTAAAAATCATACAAAACTGAAGAATATACTTCTGTATGATGCCAATCATCTATATGAATACATTCATTTGTTGAGTAGCTTTTGATACATTTCCCAATTCTAATTTAAAAACTTATTGCTTCTTGGCCTTTTGGCTAAGATCAAGTGCAGTATCTAATTTAAAAACAACATCAATGGGCAAAGTCAGAATCTTATACTTTTCTATGGATTGTTCTACTTGAAAGATAAAGCCTACACTAACATTGAAACTTTTTTTTTAATTTGATATTTCTATTTTATGCATCCAAAAAAAATTTTTATATAGCCCAGGCTGGCCTCAGATTCACCATCCTGCAACCTCAGCCTCACGGGTACTGGAATGACAGGCAGAAAAATTTTTTGTAAGAATAGTGACATGCTAAGGTCAGTGAGACAAGGAGCTTAGAATAAGGCAAAGCAAGCCAGTGCATTATCATGAAACAAGGACTATGTTAAGCCTTAACTCAGAGTGGGCCCACTCAAGACTTGGGGAGAGTAATAATAATAGGTCTCCTGAATATTAGGTCTCTAAACTTAATTTTGAAGAACTTTTCCAAATCAGCCAAATCAGAAGTGGTAGTGTGGAAGAAAAAGATTTCCAGGGAAAGCATGCAAGAAGACCCTGAAACAGAGAGCGTGCAAACATTCAAAGAGGGCATGTCAAGAGCTCAAGAGATAAAGGGCCCTGTGAAACTGTACCTAAGGAAAAAAAAGAAAGAAAGAAACTGTACCTAAGAAGTATTATATTTGTTTTGAGGTCATGGGGAAATTTAAACAGTGAGTTATAAAATCAAACTTGAATCTTTTAAAGATCATTCGGCCTCAGTGTGAGGATTGGATGTAGGGCAAAACCAGTGTCATGAGGATTTCTAAGGTATTAGAAACCCTACCAAGAAGAGAAATTAGATGTGAGGAATGGGAGAAAGAGCAGAACCTAGAATAATCCCCGGGTTCTGCTGTGATAGGAAAAAAATAATTGACAAGAAGAAAAGCAGAACATAATGGTGATGTAAGAGATAACTAGAGGACATCCAAGAGTAAATACAGACAGGCACCGGATACCTGACCCTTTTGAAGCTTAGAGAAGTTAAGACTAAATCTGTAACTCAGGAATCTTCTACATAAAAGTGATAGTACTGATTTGAACAAGAGGAGCCACCTCTCATGATTAAATCTGCACTGAGAAATTAAAGTTTAAAAAAATTAGAATCCTCCAGTAAGTTAGAATGGTAAGTCTCTTGATTGCCTGTATTCCTCAGTAGCTGCCATCTAACATCTAAACATAACCACAGCTAGTTAAGCAGAAAAGGAAAGTTTCTTACCTTTAACGTTTCTTTAAGGATGAAGCCATTTTCAGATTAGTACAGTGGATGTAATTATTTAGGACATTCAAGGCCGAATTAATACAAACCCGAGTTTCTAACCTGTCCTACATTTAACAGCACTCTGTGTGTCAATAAGACACATAAGATTATTATATAGCTCTAACCCCTCTTCCACAAAACCTAGAATTTTCACCTCTACAACACCTAACAAAGTGACCAAGAAATATACATTCCAAACTGTTGCCATATAAAGATCACAGTATAGAATTTGAGTCATTTTGCAGATGAGTGGGGAAGGAAGGAATGAAAAAGTGAGAAAAGGTTGATTTCATCCTCATTAGGATTAATTGTAAGCGCCATGACTGTATTACATTGTGACTACAGATATGTGACCCCCACTGGGTCCTTTGGGAAATAGAGAAAATCAGGACTAAAAGGTGTCCTATGTATTGGACCACGTGCTAGTCATTGTTGGCCTTACTAGACGGTTTCAAAATAAATGGGCATGGAAGCCAAATTGTAATGGACTGAAAAGAGATTGAGAAGTGGGGAAGCGGATGATCAGTATATTCATTCATAAAAACCCGGAAAAAGCACTCAAGGAGTAAGGAAGCAAATAACTAGAAAGCTGCACTGCACAGGAGTTGTTCAACTTCAAGAAAGTTGTTCACTTGCCGTTGCCTTTTTTTATATATATAATGGGAAGAGGTTGAAGGATGCTTCATACTAAAGAGACAGTTTCAAAGAAAGGAAGTAGGAAAAATGATACAAGAGGAAACAGCAAGGTGCTGATGGAGATGAGATGGAATCAAGAACATGACACTAGCGGGAACGATGCTGAAGCAATCATGATTTCTCAAGTGCAAGTGTCAGAAACCCCAGTCTAATGAGTTAAGCAGAAAAGAAAGCTTAAGGATGAAGCTGGCTTCAGATTAGGCTCTCATGATATCAGCAAGTTGCTCCCTCCTCAGTTTCCCTTGCTTACCTCTGATTTTCTGGTTTGGCTGTATTCTCATCTTTGTTTCCAAGAGATGCCAGAAATGGCCAGTAGTAGTTCCAGGCTCAGATTTTTATCAGTTTAAAAACCCCAATCAATCAAGCAATCCCTCTTCAATAGTTAAAAGTCCTGGGACTGACTTTCACTGCAGGGGAGTAAGTCACATGCCCATCTCTCAACCAGTAAAGCTTGACTGGGCCTGAGTACTCTGCCCGCCTCCGTCAGCCCCACTTAAGCCACTTGCACTAATAAGCTGCAGAGAACCTCCCAGAAGGAAATCAAGGTGTAGCAATCAGAAAGGACATGGGTGCTCAGAGACAAGGCGGAAGGAGGGTAGCAGAAGAGAAAGTGAGACAAAATTGCTTAAAAGATAATAATTAGCTAGGCGTATAATAAGAGGGTAGGGAAAAGCCCAACGTTGAACAATAGGGTTAGAATGTAAGTAGCCTGGATAAAATAATTTTTATTAAAGTTGCTGCTCTTAAATAAAGAAAATGGCAATTTATTATATAAATGGGAGAGCTTCCATTCCCAGAATTTCCTAATACCAGGAATCACCATGCTGTCACCTGCTAATATGCATCCTCGTACATTTACTTACTGTTAAAGAGTTGCCCATTAGAAAAACAGAGATTGTTGCTGTACTGATCCCAAATCCATCCAGTTTTGAAAGAATTCTTTGTATTTCAGAACATAAAGGTGGGGAAAGAAGAGAGAATTTTTTTTAAAGCAAAGGGTTTCAAACTTCCTCTGCCAAGAACTGATTCCTTTAAACTTAGGGTTGAATTTAAACATCACCTCAGAAAATGTTCCAGTGTTCATTTTCTTCCTATTATGGAAGCAATGATCGTTCACCTTTCCATTTCTAAACTCTGTCCATTCTTCTTCTCTTAAATCCAGAGGACACCAAGACCCTCCGAAAGTTTCCAAACCCCAAGTTTTGGATCTACTGGATTTGTTGGTTACTCTAATTTCTGAACTCTGTCCTAATTTTTTGCCTCGGAATACTCCACTTTCAAGAATACTTTAATGTAATTCATGAATGCGTCCAATCCAAATGAACTGCTGTCAGTGGAAGGGAGCAAAGTCTGTCATGAGCCCACTCTGGGCTTCCATGGCTCATGGTAGTACAGGCTCACCACACCTAAGTCTAGGCCCAGCTTCCTCTCTGCAGGTGGAGGAAGCCTATTTAAATAATTAAACAATTACAATCTCTGAGCTAGACTGTTTATAGGGGCCTCCTTAAAACTCTTGGCCTTTATGTAGGTCAAGTCCTTGAAAAATTTTTCTCTGAATCAATGAAAGTCATTTGGGACTAGTGCTAGAAAGGTTGGAAAATTAGATCTTTTACTTATTAATCAAAGATCTATATTTGATGGACAGTTCTAAGGGGTGGGCAGCTTTAAGTGTTCATATTATCAACTGATATGAAAACCCAAGGTCCCGGATTAATATTTGGAAATCATGCAAATATCTATTCAGATACTAAGGTAAAAATAAGTACTGCACATTCCCGACACTTTTGTATGTAAATGCACAAATGTTTCCTAACTTTGGCAAAACATGGTTTGATACTTTAATACTAATGTATCTGTACCACCTCTGTCACATGGTCATTGACATGCATTTACAAGATGCCCAGTTGAATTTCACCAGTAGTTGTGAGGTATAGCAAAGCCAAAAGCCTTGCTGATAATTGGTTTTCACCTTAATGATGACAGTGTTGTCAGAGAGTAAAGGCCAACTAGAGAATAAATAATCCTCTTTTTAGAGTTATTATGACCTTTTCCGGTCAAATATACAGGGCATTACAAATGTCTCACTTTCAGCATCTGTTGAAACTGAGCTCTCAAGAAAGAGTATCTAAAGAAAGAAAAGAAAAATAGACAGTTTCTTGCCAAGCGTATTCACCAGAAAACATTGTTTAACTATTAATGAAGGTTTAGATTAGAATTCTTCTACTCCATTAAATCCCTTAGCACTCTCCCCCATTCCTAAAACCTTTCATAATTGTACTAGTTTTTCATGATATCAGAAACCAAAACAGGACAAGTTGCTGCTGGTATCAATGCTGGAAAGTATCTCCTATTACTGAAGGACTATGAAGGATTTAGACTTCCACGTGTAAAATGATCGTGGCCTCTTTTCCAGGCTTTGTAAATTGACGTTTTGGGATATAACTTTCATGTTGGCCCACCAGAGTAATTAAATTAAAGAGAATAGTTCACATACTCTTTACTGAGTTTTGAAGTTTTAGCCAGTATGGCTGCGTGATTAGGATAAAGTATTAAACACAGCAGGTTTCATGTATTCCCGACTCCCCTCCTCCACCCTGCTTCCAGCCTTTGAACGATGTCTCTAGCACCCAAATGCCATATGTTCCTTCAGCGTCTGATCAGATTGCTTTTTGTAATTCTGTTAGAAGAGCTTCTCACAGCTGACTTTCAGAGCACTTTGCGTCTCTGCTTTCCATCTTACCCCCACTTCGCTTTCTCTTATAAAAACCCCCAAAGGATCTTTCACTCACCTTTTCTTCTAAAGCCTCTTAAACTCTCTGATACGTGTGTGGGTATGCACAGGGTTGAAATGTACACTCCAAATGTATACAAGGTATTGTGAAACATAATGATATTTTATTATTTTATTCAAGATAAACACACATAACCAGATTGCAAATTATGTCATTATTCAATTTAGACAGATAACCCCACCAGATAGGACTTCTGAGGTTTGGTGCAGTAGTTTGTCTTGGTGGCCTCGTGTATGCAATCACTATAGTCAGTATCACATTTGCCGCACTTGCAGCTAACAGCAACAGGGTAGGAGAAATAAGGGGCAACATGATGGGGGCATCCTGGTATTTCCACAGTTCTGTAGACGAAGTCTCTGTATGTGCAAACATCCTGGGACAGAGCAGATTTGGGAACAAGGTGCTTGATACTGATATCCTGAGAAAAGAATAGAAAAAGGAGCATAATATGAAAGGAAGATAGAAAACTTATAAATAAAGGAAACATACACTTATTTGTTGCAAATACAACTAGGGGAAGATTCCTTAGTCTTAGTCTCCAATACCAATTTAATATATCTGGATTAAATCCTACAGAGGCAAAAGTGATACCCTCCTGTCTTACCCTTTATCATGGGAAGAAGATAAAGTTTAAATGAGTCTAGTGGGTAAAATTTTTATAAATTTATCTGTACTCATTTTGCTGAGTAGATCCACATAATATTACAGACTATATGTTCTACTACTTAAGGAGCTAACCATTGGATTTAGAAAATAAGGTTGTGATTTATCTCATTTCTTTTCCACGTAGGAATGGACTGACTCTATGTTTATATAATTTATAACTAAAAGAAGGGTGATGAACTACATACCCGTGTCATACAATATCCAGCACAGATGGTGGTGTTGATGGTTAGACAATAAGCACACTCTCTTCTATCGATGTGCATTGTATACTCAGTTGGAATACAAAAAGACATTGCTCGCCCACATGCAAGACCCAGAAGCAAGGACAGCAGGAAGATGGCAGGCATGCTAAATAAAAGATAAAATTAAAGAACCTATTACATGTATCCTTTCAGGACATTCAGAAGGCACATTTCGGGAAAGTTTAGATATATGAAGATATACACAAAGGGCCAATAATAAAAACAACTGCCATTTATTTTATGCCTGCTTTGTTCTAGGTCCTATGTGAAGTGTTTTTACATATTTAATACTGTCAAACTCTCCAAGTATATACTTAGAGCTAGCAATGACCCACACAGTCCATAGTGTAGGTAGCTCACCTAGTGGAGGTACAGCTAGCAGTGGCACTGAACTCTCTGGGCAGTGAAATGGCAAGCCCAAAGCATCACAACAAAAAAATGGCATAGATATACATATCAACTAAATATAAAACAACTCATTCTGTGGAAATATAATCCAAATACCTGTCTTTTAAGAAGTAAGTTAACAATTATGCTTCAGTAAGTGCTTTCCCAAAATTGTAGTTTTCTAAAACGTTTGCTCTGATAGTTTAAAAGGCCCGCACACTTTCTATCGTAAGTAAAAATGGCAAAGAAGCAAAGAAAAGAGCACATCCAAAAGTCAGTACCGTCCCAGTGGCATCCCCGTATTTCTGGTCAAGGTAGATTCCAAAAAAACTCGAGAGTCCACAGAGGGTTAACTAAAATCTCCACTGGGGGGGAAGGAGCTAACTCAGAAATCTAGGAACCCTTTCTGAATCCTTAGGATCCTCCTTTAAGGTTGAAAAGATGTAGAATTGAACCAAATAAAATATCATTTTACATAGAAGATATGGAACTCATTATCTGAAAGAGGTAAGTAAAAAACATACAGAGAATAAAATAATGAAGGGTGACAGACCCATTATGGGTTAGCCAGGAATATGAAATATTTTTCAGCTTCATGGAAGGCAACAGAGGGTCCACTGTGCCCCAGGAAGGAGCAGAACATACATCTCAATAGTTTGTCTAAGGAAGAACATGTTCCGCGTCAATTGGACATTGTAATGATCTGGATAACATTATGACATAATTATTTTAGTTCTGCTACTAAAAGAAGGTAACTAATTTTCACACTTTTGGATATAAATTGATCACCTCAAAGATTTAGAAGATTTTTTTCATTTTACTAATATTGTACAGCTAGGTGTGTTTAGATTCTTTTCTTCTCAAGTATCATTATCAGTAAAGCAAATATACATCTTAATAGACTAGAATTGATATATATGAACACAAAGTTCTTTGCTTAGCCTATGAAACAAATTTTCACTAAACATTTTTATTCAATCACCAGGAAGTATCAAGATTTTCTCAACTGTCAATTATAGCCTAGCAGTCTTTAAGCTGCATACTCTAAGACCTCTGCTTACTGAAACCTCACATCCTCAGCCTCTTACACTCAGCCAAAGTTAAGAATTTTATCTTAACTAAACTTATAGGAAAAAATGGAAACCACATTACACAGGTTACCAGTGAATTATTTAAAATATCAGCTTCTAAAGATTAATAGTCATTCCAACCAATCTCCTATTCCTAGAATAAGAGTTGCAGATAAATTAGTTATATACATATTGAGCATCTGAGCAAGGCACTGAGAGATACAAAATGGATAAGAGAAGGCCCCTGGCCTGAAGGACTGACGGTCCAGTAGAAGAGCTAAGTATAAACACAAATTTTTAAATACAGATTGTTTTAAGAGAACTGAAAAAGTCTAAATTATGACTCTGAGGCCTACAATTTTCAAAACTTTCCATATGTTCACTACATTTACTTGTGAGTAGACGAACTAAACCATTTTAGGACAAAGGTTTTCTGGTGAACTCTCAAAAATAAAATATTGTACATTTAAGCATTTGTTGGAGGGTTTTTTGTGTTTACATTAACAAGTAAAAACATAAGAATTCCTATGAAATTTTTGTTTGCTTTTTGCAGTGCTAGGGATCAAGCCCAAGGCCTCATGCACCTGTTTGACCACTGAGCTACAATATAAGCCTGAAAATATAAGTATCCCTTACTTATGAGACCTGGTTTTCTCAAATGTTTCACAAATATGAGCTCTTTCTATGGTATAAAGTTGGTTTCAATATTTTAGAGCCACAGGCCTAGAGGATACCCTGCAGGATCTTAAAAGTATCAACCATTGTGATTAGATAAAATATTCAATAGGATCATATAGTTCTTGGCTGTTTGGACACCCATCAACTGAGTTTTACTGAAGGAAATAATTAACTTTATGTATCTCTTCTAATTCTATAGTTCTATATAAAATATATGCGTGGTGAGCTAGTATTGAGAATACTGGTCTAAAAAAGAACAGAATTTTTCCATGGATTTACAAGCAACTGACTAAATATTTCATCTATCTGGACCTTGTTTCCACACCTGAACATAGAAATCCTTTTTAATATTGTAAGATGAAAAATTATGTTGCAATTCTTCCCCTTGTTGCCCTATTTGCAGTGGAAACTTTTCTTAAATTCCTCTTGTAAATGTAGATCTTTAACAAAAGTAAAATATCAAACAATGGTGAATTACTAGCCACATTAGTGGAAGAAACTTTTGGATATAAAATAGTATCTTTCCTTCCCTTTCAACTTTTTATTGGATATAGTAAAAGTTCACCCACATAATCTTCCTGGATATCAAATTCCTCATCTATAAAAAGAAGGCTTAGAATTACAAGGTGATTATGTAAGCCTATACAGCACAAATAGTTTGTGATTCTATGTGCTAAATTAGTATTAGATCCCTAGTCTGAAAATTAGCAATCTAGAATTCTATTTGCAGATTTAATTACAATTGTGTGTCAATAAAAGTTTAATATCTTTTGCCTTCATTTTTCCATATACTCCTTCCTAAGATAAAAAGAATAACACGTGAAACATTAAGAGTGCTACATAAGAAAAAATATATAACTATATAACGCTATATGACTCACTATTAATTAGTACTTTCTCACATATCTGCTACAATTTCTTCATCACCTTGTTTTCATCTCTGCAATTTAATTACTTCTTATAAAATCATCATAAATAATTTATTGAGCACTTAAAGACAGAAGTCACAATTTCAGGCAGAACCCTAGTAATGATACGTGGCCTGCCTTCTTCAGCACCATGACTAAGAATGTCCCCGCTTTCAATTCTTTTCCTTATTCCAAAATAGGTTCTTTCCTTCATCCCTTCTCTCTTCTTTTTGCTCTAATTTTGTTTTTAATAAACACATTTCTGTCTGCCCTGCTAATTTTCACCAATCTTTTCTCATGAATTCATTACTATACTACAGAAAAGGATGAATTTCTTGTCCTATGAACAATCCCAGAATTTATTAAAGTAGTATATTTTTCTAGACAGAAAAATAGAATATTAGGCATGTGCGTGTGTGTGTGTTGGATATTATCTAAGGTGGTTACACTATTAAATAGCCAAAAAACTTTGTAATAGAGTTTATTACCCCCATAGGTACTAAAAACTGAATTTAAGGTTTCCTAGTATATTTTCATCAAAATGACCATTAATAACAGAGCATATTTAATACACAGATTATTAAATTGATAAAAACATTGAAATCAAGATGAGAACATAAGCAATCCATGCACATCAATCATCCTTCATTAGGAAATTAGCAACTGTTTCTCTTCCTTTAAGGTGATGAAAGTTTTTTCCTATCCTTACGTATGTAGTTCACTCACCTTGACCCAATTGAACAATTTGGAGCAATAATTAAAAATTTAAAGCCTAATGAAGCAAAGTATCTCTCAGCATTTGCAATTTTTAAATATATGCTACAACTGTAAAAATAAAGAAAATCAGAATAAAAGTGTTTTATTTCACAGAGGCTTCTCAGTATAGACACCTACCTTACTTTGCATTGGTGAGCCGATGCTGTGATGACCCAGACTCTTGTTTCATTTTATACCCTTCAGGATAATTCCCCTCTGATCTTCTTGTTTATATAATTGTATTTGAATTACTGCTTTCTTATCTGAAAAACATCTATTGAAAATTCATACCAAACCCCGAATAAAATGTGTTTAAACAAACAAGTTCCAATATCTTACCCTGGAAATTCTGACATTATTTTAGTATGCGTTTTCGTCTCTCCTATTTCAAAATAAAATTACTCTTTTAAACATATCCTTTGTTAATATTAATAAAGGCTAGCCACAAAATGGGGCAGTACAAATAGGAAAAAAGCACCTTAACATCAACTAAGGAAGTCTTGGGAATGAAAATTAGTTTGAGGCTTGAGTGCTCCAAATTTCATCTAACTGCTCATGCAGAGACGTGTAAAATTGTTCCTCATCTACAAAGCAGTGACAACTTTTTTCATGTAAATCTAGGGCAATTGACCTACAAGTTGTTGATTAAAAAAATAGTTCAAAATACTTTTTTTCCCTTGTATTTGAAAAGATATTTGTGAATGTAAGTAACAAAGCCAAATCTAGCAGAATGTCAAACTGACCTGAGATCAAATTCAAGCCCTGCCGTTAACTAACTGTCACTGTTGTATTTGCCTCTCTGTAGCTCAGTTTCCTCACCTGTTATAAAAGTAATGGCAATGTTTCTGGAAGTCACTTAACACAGTGTACGGCACAAAAGGGCTCAATAAATGATACTTAATTTGTAGTAATATAATATATAATTGTTTAACAAATATTTTAGTCACAGGTCCCAGTATCCAGTAAGCAGGCAATATATTTGTTGAATGCATAAAACGGCTGAGAGAATGCATATGTCATTACTGAATTTTTGGAACAGATGTACAGCCTTTCCATCTCTGTAGCTTTAGCTCAGTTTGACACCTTTAAACCACTTTTCCTCACTGTAACTAAAAGTATTATGTCAAAAATGCATGGGGCATTTCCAAACTGTCCTCAAGGAAAAAATCCAAAGACTTGGAATCATTTGCAAAGTCCCACATGATCAATTTTAGCTCAATTTCATCATTCCCCATCTTCCATCTTTCTTTTATCTTAAAGCCACATCCTTTTGCTACCTTTTTTCTCTTTTTGCTAAACTGAGTTTCTCAAGGTGGACACATTTTGTCTTGCCTCCAAAAATTTACATATGCCATTCCCTCTGCTGGGATACAAGCCATTCTATGCCTTATCTCACCTACCTTCCTCTCATCATTCCTTTACCCAGGAAAGCACCCTTTTGTGAAGCCTCCTCTGATTCCCTGAAGCCTTCCTCCTGGTTAGTTTTAAGGAGATTAGAGGTAATATATGGAACCCTGACATACAGTAGATACTCAGTAAATCATAGGTATTCTTATGGGCAATTGACAACCCCATTAGTCTTCACTTATGCTAGTCTTTACTGTTAATGAAAGTTATAGGGAAAAAATAGTGCCCAGTATAAGTGAGTCTCCCCTGGAGGATGATGGGAAGTCAAAGCATAGTCTGGAATATATTAAAGCAAAACTTTAGGAAGAACTACTTATTTGATAGAGTTTAATTGAACAAAGAATGAATCATAAATCAGGCAGCCCTCAGAACCAGAAAAGGTTCAGAGAACTAATCTCCAAACGCAGACAGGCTGCATTTATGGAGAGAAAGCAGAAGTGAGGTATAGAAAGAGCTTGCTTGGCAACACATGCCTTACATGTGTGTGTTCCGGTCAGTTGGCTACCTGAGATTTACTGAGCTTAGGCTGCTGCGATTGACTAAGACTCAGCTATTTGTTATAAAAGTATGTGCTTAAATTAGGCTTTCATTTAGTTCACATACCTAGGTTTCAGTTCATTATGTATGGACTCACAGCACACAGGCATCTTCAGGGAAGATTTAGGTAAATTTGGCAAATACATTCTAGGAATATATCTAGCGACCCCCAAATCTTAGAAATATGAAGAACTACGTGGTAAGAGAACACTGAAAGTAGGGAAAGTGGGAATGGGATGCCAAACTTAACTTTAAGTGATTCCTGGCAAGAGGCTAAGATAGCAGTATGGAAACTGAGGGATATTAAGTGTTTCTAAGGGAATTCATGCTTCTGTCATATAAAGCACTGATTCAGGAATGCACTCTCTCTAAATATAATTGTTTGAAGATATACATTCAAACAATATAGTGAATGTTTAAATAGAACAATTATTATAGTAAAAGAAATAGTGTCATTAATTCTCCTCAAAATACTCTGCCTTGCTTCAAGTACACTTATTCCCTCATTCTTGCCACTTTCTGAAGCAGTTCTGGAAGTCTTCTTTCCTGAGTGTCTTTAATTGCCCTGTCATGGCTGCCTTGATGTCCTGAATTGATTCAAAATACTTACCTTTCATGGTTATTTTGAACTGAAAAAAGCCAGAGTCACAGTGGTCAGTAAGGTGGATGAGGACACATCATAATGTTTTCACAAGCCTGCCTTTCTGTTGACTGGCATTTGGTAGCAGAAAATATTCACCATATTTTTTATAACACCTCATAAAGACTTTTGCAAAGTAGGACTTCCAGAACTGCTTCAGAAAGTGGCAAGAACAATAGAATAAGTATATTTAAAGTGGAGGGGGAGTATTTTAAGGGGGACTAATAGTAATTATCTTTTACTGTAATAATTTTAAAAATTTTATTCACTGTATATTTTGATCACCCTTTTGGGGTGTGTGTGTATCAGTTCATACATACAGTGTGTATAAGTGATATACACTAACTGATATACTTGGCTAGTTGTTAGAAGAACTATAGTAAATACATATTCAGGCAGTGATTTTCTTTTTAAAGGGGGACTCTGTATATAATCTTACACTCTTAAATGAATGCAGACAGATTGAATTTACACTCTGACCCAGATTTACTCTCCTACCTACAATAACTGTGAAACAGGAAAAGATATATGAAATAATGGTTCTATAAACACTAAACATCAGGGTTTGCTTTTTTAAAAAGTAAGTGATCCCAGAGACATGGAAACAAATCAGAAAGTTCCTTGGCCATGGTGCAGGAAGACATACTAGGACAGAAGCTAGAAGTGTTGCCAGACTGAGGAGATGTGCCTGGGAGTCTAAGGAACCCACAGCAACTGGAGTTCATAGACAAGACTAGTGGTGAGAACCGAGCTTCACTGAGAGGGAACTGTGAAAATTTGGAGGGGATCTCTCTGAGTATTTAGCTGAAAACTGATAAAATGATGCATACAAGAAAATTAGCTGAGGCTGGAAACACCCGAAAGGATTAAAAAACAATCCTAGATTCACACAGAATGATCCACACAGAATGAACCTGCTCCAACCTGTAACATGAAAATCTTCTAACTCATAAAAATGAAGTAGTATACTAAAAATGGATTTTGCTTCAATTGTGAAGAAAAGTTAGCCTTTGACCAGATGCTGTCCTGGCCTTTTCTAACAAAGCTTAAAAGCACTACCTAAAAGGATCAACTGTTTCCAAGTAACATAACTAAGTCATATAACAAGATGAAGACTATTTATAGGAATATAATAATACCCAGCACCCCACAAGTATAAGCTACAATATGTGGCATTCAATAAAAATATCTTTAGGCATACAAAGAAGCAGGAAAATACAATTCATAATGAGGAGAATATTAGTTGAAATTGACCCAACATTGGTACAAATAATAGAATTAGTAGATAAGAACAACAAAACATAACTAATTTCTATATTTAAGTAACTAGAGAAAAGAATAAGTATGAAGACACATGGAAAAATAAAAGTCCCAATTTAACTTATAAAGATGAAAACAACAATTTCCTGGGTTGATTAAAATAGCAGATGAGAGTTTGCATAGAAAAAGCTTAGTGAAGTAGAAGACATAGCAATGCAAATAATTCTAAAAACACAGAGAAAATAACTGGAAAAAAAGAACATCATCAATGAGTTTGTGTAAATTTCAAGATCTCAAATATATATGAAATTGGAATCTTCTGAGGAAGGAAATTCAGAAAAAAATATTTGAAGATACAATGGTTGAAAAGTATACCAATATTATCAAAACTATAAATCCAATCCAAAATCCCAGTGACCCTCAAACATAAGATCATCCACAAACACACTCAGAATTTACTAATCTGCTAAGTGGTTCTTTCTCAAGTTGACATATTACAATTAATATTACATTTTGTGAGAAAAAGATAAAAAATTAGTACACTTCACATGATTCAGTTTATAGAAAATATAAATTAATCATAAGATGGAAAGAAGATTAATGGCTACTTGGGGATGGGGAAAAGTATGGAAGGGCAATAGAGAGGGGTCACCAAGGCAGAGGAAGCTTTTTGGGTGAAGAACATGTTACCTTGATTGTGATAATAATTTCACAAGATATACACATTCTACCAAATTGTATACTTTATATGCAGTGTTAGAGGATAATTATGTGCCCCCAAAATTCATATGTGAAGTCTTAATCCTTAGCATTTTAGACTGTAATTAACTAAAATGAAGTTTTACTGGAAAAGCATCAATCCCTATTCAATATAATTATTGTCCTTATGAAAAAAGGAAATTTGGAAATCAACACATGAACAAGGAGACTGATCCAGGAAGACTAGAATGAGGCTGCCACAAACCAAGGGTAACCAGAGATTTGGAGAGAGACCCTAGCACATTAATATAGGCAGTTTGCTGTGTTTCAGTAACATCACAACAAAGTTGTTTTTAAACTCCGGTAGGTAGAAATTGCTGCCTCCTTCTCTCTCTCTCCCTCCCTCCCTCCCTCTGTCTCTGTCACTCTGTCTCTCTTCCTCCCTCCCTCTCCTTTCTTCCTTCCTCTACTCCTTTTACTTGCCATTTTCCTCTGAACATTCTAAACTTTTTAGTCTCAAAACAAGGTTGCATTTGCTATTGTTCATTATGAAAAGTTTTTTACCAAACTTTTGAATGGCTTACTCTTCATCATCTTGCCTTTAAAATGACCACAGAAAAGCCTTCCTTGGCCATCAAATCTAATGAAGAAAATTACCCCTGCCATTTTTATCCCATTACCCAAATTTGCTTCATAGCATTTCTCATTTCATAACATACTATTTGTTAAGA